TATATATATATATATATTTATATATTTGTTTTTTGTTATAGGATAAAAAAAGAAAAAAAAGTATAAATGTATAACAGAGACACACATATATATATGAAAGCGTGCGATTAATATTCAGGAAGGAATTTGTTTAAATATTTTTTTGTAACTCACTCGGTCAGGATATCAATGTAATTTATAACGTAGATAGATAAAGAGAGAGAGGGAGCGAAAGAAAGAAAGAAAGAAAGAAAGAGTGAGAGTGTGTGTTAATGTTTGATAAAACTAGCGATGTACGAAGAGACGTAAGATATAGGCTCAACATTAAAATAAGATAATTTGGCTGACGTGTCCTGTGTAGGTATTATGACGATCGCTACAGAGAACGTGAACGAGACAGAGAACGAGAACGAGAATCAAGCCGAAGACCATCTGAACGTGAAAGAGAACCGGAACGTGAGCGAGAACGTGAACGAGAAAGAGATCGACGTGATGAAAGAGGAGATTCTTCACATCGTTCAAGACATTAGACGGGTTTGAAGAGAAAGGATAATATATAGTGGGAACGATTACTATAACACATAATATTGTGACCCTCAACGTAGTCTTGTTCAATTTAAAAAGAAAGAGAAAAAAAAATGAAACAAATAAAAGTTAAGAGGAACTACACAGCTTGTAATTAAGATTAACGCACTACTAATCTGTGTGTTCACCATACAAGATTCATAAAAGATGTTGATAATGTGTTGTTTAGTAGGAAACAAAGATATACATCTAGATGATACATTTTTTGCATTAAATTTTTCCTAATAGAGATACAGTGACAAATATGATTTACGAGTAATTCGTGTGTTTATTACTTCAGTTTAAAGATACAAAAAATTAATTATTAAGAAAAAATAATTAAAAAAAAAAAACACAAAAAAAAAACAAAAAAAAAAAGAAAATAATAAGGATACAAATCCTCATCATATATATTAATATTCAGTAGAATTATCTTATATTGATTCTAACTTACGTTTCTTCTTCTTCTTCTTCTTCTACTTCTTCTTCTTCTTCTTCATCTCTTCTTCTTATTCTTATTCTTCTTTTACGTAATAAGTATATTGTAAGATGATAATACACGCAAATATAAACATATGTGTAATTAGCATTATAAGTGTATAAGGAAAATATGCATGTAGTTTAAAAAAAAAAAAAAACAAAAAAAAAACTTTAGATTTTTAATCGAGACGATGTGTCGGTGCTTTATTATTGATTGGCAATATTATTAAATTGATGAAATAGGTATTTTCAAATATATATATATATATATATACAAATGCGTGTATATATATATATGACTTTATTGATGCTAAACTAGAAATGAAACGAGAGAGGTAGAACAGACATTACCTATTAAAATGTTTCATACGCAAGTGCTGGCTCAGAGCTCTGGGAAGAAGGAAGACATCTTGTGTGAAATACATCGATCTTCTGGCAACAACAAACAACACGATGCAAGATTGTATCTTAAAATAATACATATATACGCTTTCAAAAATATATACTACTCAATATGTCTACTTTATTCATCTGTACACGCAATATCCTAAAATGTTGTTATTTTTTCTGTTTCTTGTGGTTTTATAGAAGAAAATATCCTTCTCATTATATATATATATATACATACATATACATATATATATATAATCTCAAAGCGCTCTAACCACACACATCACCGTCTGTTATAATAAATAGTTTATGTTATTTTTTAAGAGAGAGAGAGAGAGAGAGAGAGAGAAAGAAAGAAAGAAAGAAAGAAAGAGAGAGAGATAGATAGATTGATTTTTATATTAACTATTGCCTTAATAAGATAAAATAAATATGCAACACACGGTACACATGCATACATACATTATCTTGTTGAAAAAAAATCTTCACATTTTTTTGAGTATTAATTACAAGAGTTAAGAATAATTAATGATCTTTTCATTTTATAAGAAAAATCAAACTATATACTTTATTAAATATGTTGCGCTGTTTTTTAAGGCATTTTATGCGCATATATATGCAGGGTGTTGTGTTGTAACTGATGAATACAAGCGAGTAAAGAATGGTTCTATATGAAAAACTAAGTTGAAAATGTGGAAAACAATGTATTTATAAAAAGCTGTGTTTTTTTTAAAAAAGATAAGTTTGAATATTTGTCGAGTAAGCATGTATTCGATTAAGCTTGCAATTCTGAAAAGTAGAACCAAAATTTGTCTGTCTGAAATCGAATCAAATGCATGAATCATCAATGCATTTTCATCAAAAACAAATTTTATTCTATGTTCTCAATTTATTTTATCATGTAGAATCAATCTCTACTCGCTTGTATCACCTGTTACAAGACATCTCTGTATTTACAAAGATATATATTTATATATATATCGCGTTATTTCAACTTTGTGAGAATTTATCTTTTATTTAATATTATATACATATATAACGTGTTACTTTTTACGAATAAATTTGTATTAATTAAAATATTAATATATATGGATATATATATATATATTAATATTTTTCTTTTTTGCAATTAACGAATGTAAAAAATTCTCACAAAGTATTAAGAGAGAGTGTAATTAATCCTGTAAGCACACCAACCAACAGTATCCTGACCTTTTATGTTATAATTTAAAGAAGGAAAAAAAAAACAAAAATATGTTAATTGATAATGCATGTCACATTTTCATTTATAGACATTTATTGATGTGTTGTTCCGTATATAGTTATATAGACTACGTATTCTTTAAATTAAGTAGAAAATCATGCATGAGGTACTACTACTGATAGTCTATTTTTATTTTAATGTAAAGGAAGAAACAATGACAAAAAAGTATAATTTATTGTAATCGATTGAAAAAACTTGTTTGCGTAAGTGGCAATATGGCTATAAGTATATGATTATCAAAGGAAAACATATCAAATAGCTTTAATACCATCAAATTTATTAGACATTCTTCACTAATGAAGTAGTGAAAGAGAAACTTAAAATAGAACATTTTTCCAATGAGTTTCACTCATTATCAGTGCCTTTATTGAAACAAATTATCAGAGAAAACGAACGGTCTGTTACTAAGTAGACTTGAAATATTCATACGAATACTTTCATCGCTTTTCTTTTTTCTTTTTTCCTTTTTTTATATTAAAGAGTAATCTTTCTTATTATTTTTTCCATAAATAATTTGGTAGTTAATTTTTGAATATGAAGAAATTATAGGTAATTTAATATTTAATGAGAGATAATGTTAAAAATGTTTAATTTTATATTACAACATATATCGTTTTAGGGAGGGATTTGTAAAGAATTTTGAATAATTTTATTTTTCAAAGAAGCGATATATATATTTACATATATCAATAATTATATAATATAGTTGAAACACTGAAGTTAAAATGTAGCAAATAATAAAGCAGACGCATTTAATTTTTCAAATCTTGCAGTTTTTAAAATAAAAGTGCAAGAACATAATCGATATTGATATTTTTTGGAAAAGAATGAAAATAATATAAATTTATAATTTTCATTAGTTGTTATATAAAAAAAATATTTTGTACAAAAGTGATAATCTTCTTAACATTTATTTTAAAATACTCATTGTATTTAGAAGATTCATATATATTATGGATATTTATGATTCCTGCAATATTGCAAGCTTTTGATCAACTTCTATGAAATTCGATCAATAAGTATATCTACATATATATATATAATATTATGTTGCTTAAATTAATTTATATTTCCGATTTTACCTAGTACTATTTGTCATGCAGGTATTTAGAAAATGTGTGTCTTTAAGTGTGTTCTATTAATATTTTCTAATAGGTTCATATTTTTCCAACTCGTATAAATGAAATAAATAATATTTAGTGCATGGTAAAATCATAACGATGATTATACATGTATATTCTATTTTTGATTATCAATGCCATTTTATCGTCATATATCTCATTCTATGAATTGTATGAGATATATATATATATATATATTACATTTATATTAATAAGTATATATTATTAATGCGCTTGCAACATACAAAGAAAGAGTATTAAATGAATTTTTTCTATATTAAGAAAAAGAAACTTTAAAAGTTATGAATTACATAAATACATAAGTCAGACTAGAGTAATGCACGTATGACAATATACAGTCGAAATTAATTAATGTATGAATTTAATTGTACAATATTTTATTTTGATAGAGTATTTATTATTATTATCATCATCGTCAAGAAAATAACTAATTAACATGGTCACGTATAGAAAAGTTTGCATTTTATGCGCATTTGTTTTTTTCAAAGTATTTGTTTTTTATTCTAAATTGCAATGGTTCATATTCTCTTCTCGTCTCTATGTCCATTTCTCTCTATGTATACTTTTTATTATTTGATATGTGCATATTACGCTATTATTAAGATATAACTACATAACTTTTCTCAGCTGCTATCATCATTATTATTATTATTATTATTTATTTATTTATTGTTATTATTATTATTATTATTATTATTATTATTATTACGCCCACCATACAATGTCGCATAATTTTTCGATTCTTTTTTCTAAAGAATCTTTTATTTGTTTGTATATATTTATATGCGTATATGAATATCTCCCATTAGATAAATTTAATAGATTTTCCAGTGAAGTTTTCACTGGACAAATTGTATGTGGAATTAAGGGTAAGTTACGTATCAAAAGCAGCTATGTTTAATTTATAAATTAGTTTTAAATGCATTTAATGACATAGCGATAACAATAACAACAATAAAAAGAAATGATAATAGTAATATTTCATTTCTTATATATTGTAAACTTAATAAGAGTAATCACAATCGCTCTTTGTGTAGATTTATATATATATATATTTATATATCATATATTTTATCAACAACGATTTAGTTTTTCTTTGTGGTCTAATATTTCTATTATATTATATTATATTATTATTAATGTTCTATTATATTATATTTCTTTTATTTTACTATAATTCTATTTAGAATTTTTCCATTTGTTATATTTATTATCATCATAAGACGAACAGACCACAGCAAAAAAAAGCGATGATATTATAATTTATATTATTTAAAGAAAGAACAACAAAAATAATAACGGTATTACACACACACACACACACACATGATATAATATGCACAAATTATGCATGATATTATCATACTTTATAACGATAATTTAAATTTTTCCATTCCAATTTGCACAAACATATTTATTATATATTAAATATTTTTCTTTTCTTTTTACACGTTTATAAAATGAATAAAGCGATCTTTCATTTTGTTACATCATAATGCAAAAAGGAATGGGATATTTAAAATATTGTTTTTATCGTGGATATTTTTTTATCATGTAATAAGTGTCCAGTGTGTGTGTTATATATATATATAGTATTTAACACATTAAATGTTATGCTGATCTCTATAGTCGACCTTAAACTTTCCATTCAGGCCACGTTGGTCATCAATAGCCTACGTTCTTGTATTTTTCTATGACTGATAGATCATCGTGGTCTAAATGAAAAGCTCAACAAGAGAGTCTTCGCACGCTTAATTTGTTAAGTATCTCAAAAAAAAAAAAAAAAAACAAAGTCAACTATAGAAGTTAAATTTTCTAGTCAAATTTGATCTCAGAATGACAGTATTAAAAATATTTAATCTAATACAATGTTAAAAGGTTTACGTCAAATAATAATCAATCTAATATATTTTATATACATATATTAATTAATCTTAAGAAATTTCACACACACGCATACACCTACACACACACACAAATATATATTTGAAGTATTTTACTTGCATTAAAAATCAAATATAATTACTTCAATTATACATAATATTGCAGCTGTATATTTATACAAAAGAAATGTTAATACTTTATTTTTTATATAAACAATTTCTTTTATTTTCTTCATTTTATATAACGAATTGCAACAATATACATATTATGAAGATTGCGTTCTAGCAATAATATTAAATAATAATTGAGACACAATTAATGTAATAATAATAATATTCAAATTATAAATGTATAAAATAACAGATCGTATATTATAGAGACGACAGTGCTATATTGAATGAAGTAAATTTAAGAGAAACAATTTTAAGAAATATTTTTTATTAGGTTTATTATATTCAAATAGAAAAATAATTAAGGAAACGTTACAAACACACACACACACACACGTACATATATATATACATACATAAAAAAGTAATATTTACAGGACTCTGTTTTTATTGTATAATATTTTTCTTTCTAAATAT